GGGGGGGGAGAAGAAGGGGAGGAGGAAACTGGCAAAGAATGTATTTGTACAATTGGTATATACCTTTCCACTCTTACTACTTGAATTTTGCATGATACAATTGGATTTCATTAAGACACTGTACAAAATGAACTTTGCTCACAAAACATGCAAACAAAGGCTTCTGAAACTCGTGACTAGTTCGTCTCATTACCAAGATAAGAGTATGGGATAAGACTGCATTATGTTATCTTTATAGACACAGGCCACACACTATGCAATCAGATTTAAGGTACCAATAATGTAAAAACACTATTAATCATAATTATCTGGTGAAATCTAATGTTACCTTATGAATATCTATGAAAAGAAACTGAAAATGGTTTAATGGCTCGATTAGGTTGGTTACAGTGGTAACGTTCTGGACTTGTATCCCACAGGTAAAAGCTCAGGTCAAAACTAAGCTATGCTACTGGCTATATTGAGGTTGTTCATGGTTTTCCAGTACTTTAGGTAAATGATGAACCTTAAAATTGGCCACAACTTTCCTCTTCCAAATCCTCATCTACTTACCATTCATGACCACCTTTCTACCTTATTTAACACTTTCTAACTTATGCAATTGAAACAGCACAATTAAATAACACGGGAATCAATCAGTCATTTGTATTGTGGTTTACATCATTATCTCATCACATTCAACTCTAAAATAATCATCCTCTGCAGTATATATTGAAATCAAGACACCCATGATATTAATTTTATTTATTTTTTCAGAATTCTAAATAAATTTCCACCATTTCTTGAAGTGCTATGAAATGGAAATGAAGTTTATTCTTCTGCTTGTCTGTGTTCATATCCTTCGTTCATATCCTGACTGTGTTTATGAGTCACAATTTAGCTAATCAATCATTTGCAAATGTGGAAAAGTTAAATTTCTTGATGACAGTTGCAAATCAAAATAATATTCAAACCAAAACTATGTTATGTTTCTTGTTGTTGCTATCATTGTCATGTGAAACTGTCTAATTGTTTGGGAACATAGACAGAGGGTGTTTAGGAACAAACCCTGATGAAAACATTGAAGCCTTAGAGAGATTATTAACAAGGATCAGAGAAAATTTATAAATAAGGGGCATTACAGCTTGTGACCACCTAATATCGTCAGGGTCATTAAATAAATTATAAGATAATCAAGATGCAAATGGTGCTTCTTTGTTCTTCCAGAATGTGCAATTTTTTCCAATCCATCTTTTAAACTTCCCCACAAACAAAAGTCACAAAATGTTAAGTCAGGGGAACATGGGCCACAAACCGCAGCTAATTATGTGGCCACTGAAATCCTGTTGCAGCGCTTCCAAAGCTATGTGCCATATGACCTGTTGCAGAATCTAGCTGGAAAACACTATACATAGCCTTTCCTCTTCTGTTAGCTTGACAAAAAATTGGGTCAGGAAGTTGTTAACATATCTGGCAACATTAACAAAGGCCAAGTCAGAATTCACCTCTCCAAGTAAGGAAAACCAGGCCTCATTGGGGGTGGGGAACACACACTAATTATGGATCAACTTCTCCATCATGTACTGACAAAGAAACCAATTACAAACATTTATTCTGACAACCAGATCCTTGAAAGCATAACTTGGGTTGTATTAAATGGTCACAGTTTTAACAGTTTTTGGCCCTCCATACAGATGTTATTGAAACACATTCTCTTATGGTAGTCATTTAAGAGATTTTCTTGATGAAGTTTCAAGTCTAGCACCAATGCCATCCAATGGTTCTTCTGTCAACAAAGTTTGTTTACTATGTGACTTTTTGTCTAGTAATGGTCCTGTTTTCTAAGCTTATTGACCAGATAATGTGTATTTTGTCTGTTTGGAACTGGTTCTCCTGGAAACTTCTATTGAACTGTCCAAATATTTTCTAGCAGAATCATATCTAAAACAGGGTTGCAATAAACATACACACTGTTCAACAGTATACCTCACTTGAGCCACGTTGCACAGCACTGAATGGTTGACAGAGAAATTCATTAACACATACAAATGTGATGATTGATGGTAGAAGTATAATATCAGCATCTGTTATCTAGGCCTGGCTGGGTGCTGCTTCTTGGCCACACAGGAAGTAGTAGACCTTAAACTATGAAAACAGTAAAAGCAACAGTCCCTCAAAGTAAAATTTTCTTCACTCTCCAGTTAGTTCATGCCTCTGAGGTCTTTGTTTTCGAGTACACCGAAATAACTTAGATGAACCTACCCTAAAATTGTATTTTAAGTTTTGCAATGTTTTCGCAGCATTAACTTGAAATTTCAGTTACCACATCTTTGCCACTGAGTTAAATTGCATTTTAATTTATTGGAACAAGAACATTCACCTCTGTCTAGTGTCAAGGTTAAGTGTAAGTTTTACCATGACATGGCACAGACAGCTTACCATCTTTCACCATACTGTCAATGGCAAGTTAAGCCATAATGTCATACTGTGAATGATGTGGCTTGGCTCCTGAAGTTAGAACTGTGAACACATTTATCTTATACAGTAAATTTTCAAAAACAATGGACAGGTTTTGTGGAAACTCATGAATACAGAATGAAAATCAATGCAGAATTACATTCAACAAATATAAACCACGTGACACAGAAGAAGAAAATTATTATCCTGCTTGAATATTTCTGTGTTCATATAAATCTGATATGTTCTCTACTTCTTGGAAAATTACTCTAGAAACATTCCTATCAAAAGTGATAAGGAAGAAAACCCAACTTTCTTGAAAATATGAGCCAAATACTTCAATGGGCTACTGGTAAGAAATAAAAATGAATGAAAATTCCAGGTAAAATGGAAGAAAGGAGACTGGAAATGATTACAGTTCAGTAACAGTGGAATTAACTGTACTGTTGTTAATGTTGTGATGGGGGGAAACTTTGTCTCAGTGGAAATGCAGCTGTTAATGAGCCCATTGAGTGTCCCCTCAGATGATATATGAATAAGT